TGTCACGCGGGAGCACGTCGAGGGAAGTTCGAGGAAGAAATCAAGAAGAGCGGAACTTCCTGGTGAAAACCTTCGCCACAGACTCGGAGAAATATTCATTTTAATGGTTGATGTAACGCGGATATTGGTTACCGCTGAAACGCTACGTGTTCTGAGTGCTCGATGCCATCACGCGCCACACGGGATATGCAATATATAAAAGGATGGCGGAGTTTCGTTGCTCGAAACCAGAACTTCGTGAACGCCACGATCCGATTTCTGCGCGGTGTTCATACTCGGATAAACGAGCCACGAAGTGGATGCGATTAACCCCCTGGAAGGAGCTTTTTTGGGTTCGTTTAAGAGGATTAGTTTATTTAAGAGGATTTCCTCGTGTCTCAGAGTGGAGCAGTAGTTGGGATTTTTTAATGAGAAGTACACTGTCTTCAGGAAAATCTGTGAAAATAAGATTAATCGAAAAATTGTTAACTGGAATATTAGAAAATTTTATCGAAATACGTCTTTCGAAATTGTTTCTATCGAGGTTGGTTTCTCATTAATTGAATCAGGTATGCATAGGTTTTGAATTCTGTGAAGAACTCCGTAAAATTAGCTACCCCTTATATACAAATATGAGAAGAAGAAATAAGAGACACAGCATCCATTACCAATTGAATGCGGGAGAAACCTAGAACCATCTAGAAACATCTTTCCCGCGATCGTGTTGGGCAATAAAAGATTGCAGTATTTACGAAACATCAATATGCGCCGTTTCCCATTCGACACTCGGACGTGCCGTTGGGCGGAATAAATGCGAATTAAAACGGCCATCGGAGTGAATCGACGCGAAAGCTCCGTTCGTTTCCCTCTTAATCGTCCACGAAACCGTCGTTTGTTTCTCGCCCCACTGCGGTAGAAGGAATAGAAGGAATCCCGGTGAATATATTAAATTTATTTTTGCGGAGCGGTTCGTTTCAAGCCCGCGGGAAACTTCTTATTCAAATCGGGTCGCGGTGCGTGCATTGAATGCAAATGACCGGCGACATAACGCGATAGGGGGTTTCGATTTCCCTTTTTCTCTCTTTCTAGAGGCCAAGCGAGCGTTGCCCGTGGCTCGTGCTCGCGCCAGCGCCAAACTTTCGGGGCCAAGTTGCGCGAGGTGAAGTTTTAACGAGAACTCCCACGATTCCGGCGCCTATGGGGCGCTCGGAAAAGTTGGCTTTTGACGCGGTGGGTTGCACGTGACGAATTCAAATCAGCCGTAAATACCTCGAGCAAACACTCCGACGAGCACGAAGGGTTCGGGGGTGGGAGAGAGAGTCCAAACTCCAACGTAAAATAAAGCATTAGAAAGGCTTGCGGCGGACAACGAGGTAGTTAGGTGGAGGGCGTCGAGACGCGAGGCGTCCTCTGATCTCCCCGTTGCTCCTTTGTTGGCATCGTCGCGAACTTTGTCCGTGAACTCTGTGCAAACTCGCCAACTTTTGTTGCTGCACAGTTCAACGAGCACGAATTACCGCGAGCTGAACCGGCCCGAAAGAATGGCCATTACCGCTTAGAGTACGCCGAAATGGATCGGTTAATCTTTCTTCCGTGTACGGGCGAACGAGGGGCGGAGACTTCGGGAACGCGCGCGGGCTTCGACCATTTACTATCTCGATTCGGAACAGTGCTGCTCTTTATTCTAATAGCTGAAATCTATGGTAGAATTTAATTTTTAAGATATCTTGTTATGGTATTAAGATTGAAAATCTTTTTATTTTTGAACAGCGAAATTCATGTCCCGTTATATGGTGAAAAATGCTGTGAAGCGATGAATGGGTGTGCACTAACAGAATAAATATGTCCCGTTACCCAGCTTGAAAAGAACAGCGAATGAAGAAGAGGATCGTTTCAATCTCTCCAACTCTTGCGTGTGCGCGAAGTCTGTAAATTTGTATGTTCAGAATAACACTTGACAAAGTGAGAAAATAGAGATTTATCCATTTATTATAATTCTATAAAGATGAGGGTTGTTATTATCAAATAAATTCACACAGATTCAATTGTAATACGTTGACAAATAAACTACAGATACGTATACAGTCAGTCCCATAAGTATTCGTACCATTCATGTCTGTTGAAGAAATTTGTCTAAATTAAGTGATAGGTTTGATGTCTTCAAATAAATGTTTCATTATAAATATATACATGTGCAAAGTTTATTCATGTACATATTTATAAAGTAATTTTTTCGGAAACATCACACCTGTCATTTAATTTAGACAAATTTCTTCAATGGATTTAAAGGGTACGAATGTTAATGTTACCAAAAGTTTTGATCACTGAAACTAATTCCATCTAGTTGCTATACTCCAGCTTCCTAGTATAGTATTAATGTGACACCCATGCTCATTCGTTTGCATTCCGTCGTGGGTGTGTTTGCGTAGATTAATTTCAACATTGGGCGCTATCCATCAATGTCGGAAAACATTTGCAAATGTAAAATACGTGAAGTCTCATTACAATTGGTAAATAAATCTAGTCGTTTTAACGATGGGAACGCTAATACAAAACGCTAACTCTAAACCGTTATAAATTTGTCGAACATGTAGGAGTGATGAATTTAAGTTTCTATTCGTTCTCAATTATTTTAAAATTGTTGACCAACTTTGCAGTACCAGGTGCCGCATATATCAGAGTCCGAGGCGCGTAACTACGCGGATTTTTTTAGTTTCCACGGAGAGAGGAACAGATCGTGTAACATGTAACGAATTCCCAGCGGTCCTGGGGGCTCTTCTGTATAGCTATCGGCTAAAAGCAATGCAGGTGCAGGAAACTTTGCCTCATTTTTAACAGCATGGCGAACAGAAGAAACGCATTCGAACTTGAGCGTCCTTCCCGCGATTCCCAAGCCGACCGATGGAAAGAAGTTGCTTCTGCCTTGCAGCGAATGGAAGATCACCTCGACGCGATCGTGTACGTCAGCTGAAGAAAATACAATGTGACAAAGCTTTCGTTTAAATAAAATTTATTACTATCTTATCCCACGTTGTTTACAAGCTCTGCAAGACCTCGACAGTAGTGAGTCTGAACATTTCCTTTTGTACTATAATTGGTACTTTGGCTATTTGTACTTTAATTATTTAAGGTTTCAGACCTATTGTGCTGGAAAATAATTGATCTATTCAGTCGGTAGGAGGATCTGTTTATATTACATCTGATTCTATTTTGAAGTCTATCGAGTGTCAACAGTGTCGGTTCTTCGAATGATTTCAAACGAGGTTGCAATTTCAACCCACAAGGATGGTCTGCGTGGAGATGTAAGTTGCTTTGGTATCGGTGCGGGAAATTTACCCCTGTCGCGGCTCGCAAGTTTCTCCAATATCGTCGGATCGAAGTTGCCAGGGGCTCGGTTACCGCGCGCCCCAGCCTCGAAAATTGGCTTCGTTAGCTGCGAAGGCACTCTTCGGATGTCCCCTTTAAAATAATAAGACTCGCGAAATTCTCCACGACTCGTGCCCCTCACGGATTGCCTGCGATCCGATTACATAATGTGTCGTGTCGCGAGCTGCTAGCAAGCTTGGAACTCGTTTACTCCCACGTCCGCGCGAATATTCGCGAAACGAATTGCAATCTAAATTATAAAATGAAATTGGATTTCACTGTGAACGAATGACAGCATTTTCAAACAACTGTTTCATCGAACAAACCGTAGGAAATGGATTGCTACTTGACGTTTCTATTTAATTAGCGCGGGAATCAAATGTCGGATTTGCTACTATTGAGTGACTCGGGACGGACCTAATCCAGAGCAAAGGCTATTAATTTTATTTTAATTACATTCGGTTGTTTCATAATTTAAACAGGGCGAACACCAATTTCGAAAATCTATAAATCGGGGAACCGCGTTTGAAATAACTGCGCGATTAAAATCAATGACGCGTTTTTATTCCATAATGCACAGGATCGTTCGTTTCCTGCACCGACGCCGTGTTTTACGACGCATTCGAGCGTGTTATGTTCGGGTGGGACGCGGGAAAAAATGGTATGTTTTTCGTCGACGAAAGTACGACTCGGCCTTAATTAGGAGTTCGTTAACGTTCGTCGAATATATCGGCGGCGTTTTAGGCGAGCTCGAAGAATTATGGATCGCCAAGGTTAAAACGCAAATACACCTGACCCCCTTGGCCCGTTGGAGCCGTGCCAAGCGGGCCGGGGTTAATTTTTAATTCGCCGGCACTGCCACGCCAGGGCAGTCCCTGCGTGAAATCGCACGGACTTGTTCGGATTGGCCGTAATTATTTTTACGACGTACCAATTCGGCCAATTATCGACAATTTCCATTCGAATAGCATCGACCGTTTCGTTGAGCGAAGGTGACAGTTACGGGTCACGTTTCTGCTTAGCTCTGCATGACTCGATTTCAAATTAGAGTTAAAAATTAGTTAAGTTAAAGCCATAAATAAATGGTTAGCGTCCGGTACAATTTATAGAAATTTTCATTACAAAGGAAGTCTGAATACGGCGTTCAATAAAACTTTCTTTATAGACACTTCCAACCGAGTATTAATCCTCCTGTAAAGTTCTGTGCCATTAACAGACCCGGTTGTAAAAAATCGGAAGACGTTACGCCGCGCTTCCTATGTACACCCTTGCACGGGATTCCCATCTCAGCGAGAAATCAGAGTATGGCAACATTCCAGAAGCAATTAACCAGGCTTGGTAAGTAACCAAAATACTGGAATATATCAATACACTCCGAATTAAACACAAATACATGGATCTGGATGACGTTCATGGCAACTATCCGAAACAGAATGAATACTATTTCTGCTTGCCGGAGTCGGTCGCCAGAATTTAGTTCATAATCACTGTTCACTACGTTCTATTTAATATTATATTGAATTATCCGTTACTCATGTTATTCTGCTCAAAGATTCTACTTCTTCTCATCCTTTCACAACAGTAACAAAATGACTGCTCCCTCCAAAAAAGACAACTGTTCACCTTACATAGTACAAAGTTTAAAAAACACTTACCTTGCACAATCAGTTGGATGACAGCCTCCGGTTTGCTGCGATTGTTCAACAAGCAGGTGTAGTCCGCTCTGTCCTCGGCGGTAACCGGCGTGAATCGAAGAGAATATTTTTTCGGCGAAAGCGAGATTCGGTTGTGGTGGTTCCAAACGGTGGTGGTGCTGCTGCTGTACTCCAATAGTTGCTTGCCGTTCGCCCGCCACTCCAGCATCAGTACTAACGTGTCCTCCGTTACGCCAGGACAATCCAATGTCACGTTCTTTCCAGCTTCGACCACCATCTCCTCTACCAGGGTGTCTGGGAACAGAGAGAGAAAGAGATTGTTCGCCGTTACATTCGTCACGTAGCGGCCGTTATCGCGCGAATAAAAAACCGAGCATTCGCGGTGGACACGGGGATCCGTACGATCTGCCTGCGTCAGGACCATTTCGCCCACCCCAGGCCAGATAAACCCAGCTCACGCTTTTCAAACGAACGAAGCCCACCTGCTCTTACGATCCTGACGCGTTACACAGCTCTTACGGTAGCAAGGATTGCGTTGGCTTCGTTTTCAACACAGGTAAAAAGAATATCGTTGCTCAACGATTACATTCTTTTACGTTTCGATCACGCGCTTTAGAACTTGCTTTTCCTGAAATTATTGTTCGGTAAGTATCTTTTTTTTGAAATAAAACAATGTTGTAGACTCGAGCCTTGTTGCTAAGGATTCATCATCATTCTTTTTTTAAAGCTATATATACTTAAAAGAAAAAATATTTTCAAGGCTCAAGCCTTGATGCTAAGGATTCGTCATCATTATTCTTTTAAAGCTATATATTCTTAAAAGAAAAAATATCTTAAAGACTCAAGCTTTGATGCTAAGGATTCGTCATCATTATTTCTTTATTTATTTTCAATCGAGACTTCAGAGTATCCGTAGTCTTGTCAACCTCGTGGACCCTAAACACAGAGGGAGAGTTCGTCCGAAGAGTCCTGATCCGAAAGCGTTCCAGTTTGAAGAATTTGGATCTCTAGCACGATTTGCTGGCCCTTCGTTAGGGGCGTTGCGTAACTAGGCACACTCGTGGTGATTAAATGCAATGGGACGGATCGAACGACTGCAATCCCATGAAACGGGTTTGGGGGCAAAGTGCACTTCCGCTGGGAGTCGCGCATTACGGGGCAATTTTGAATCAAACTCTTGAGAAAAGGGTCAGAAGGACCGGATCGTTGAACTAACCGAATCGTCGGTACCGAGTTTGAGGGGCGGTTTGATGGCTTCCAATAAAGTAGACCCGACTTTCGTTTACGAACATACTAACGCGAGCTTTGGGAACATGACATCTGAAAAGAAATACGACGGAACGCAAGTATCCAGCAGCCATTGTTCGAAAAATAAATAAATATTCATTCATTCACTTCTTAGACTGCGGTTATGTAAGAAAATTTATATATTTATGGTTGCAGAACGAACATTGAAACTTAAATCAAAGCATATTTTAACTTTCAAATGATCGCCGCTCCAATGAAACCGTCGCAGCTTCGTATCTCTAAGGCGATAAAAGAGTGCACGCCAGTATCGCGTCCACGATCGACCTGTGAAGGACCGTATTCCGTTGTTATTATGCGATTCGATCGTGATACAATGTTACCGTGTTCGTGGTGTCACCGGCCTTTTTTCCCAAACGACGACGGAATGAAACGCTCATAAAACGCGTTCGCGATCGTTGGCTGCTCGAGGGTCACGGGATAGGTAGACCTGGAACAGCCGCTTCGCTACTCCTCAACGTGTAGGTAAGTTCTCGCTGGCCTTAGCTTTCGTTCTCGATTACCAATTGGGTAAACACACGATGCCCGAGGCTGTGTTCGCTTCAATTAACTGCTGTAACACCGACGAGACGCCTATTATTCCCGTCTGTGAGTTATCCGGCTGCGGTCGCTTGATTTCCGCTAAGGCACAGGCGATAATCGGCAGTTCGCCGGCGGTTCTCCTATTTCTGGAGTCTCGGAACCTCGATCGCTGGTGTCGTTTACCAGTTGCCTACCGAAAAGCCAATACGTTTGAGCCTATTTCGTGTTTTGATCACTACAGAATTACAGTTCTGTAGTACAATTCTTCGTATAATTTTGTATTAAACGATCACACTCAACTATTTTCGCTAAGATTTACTTTCCTACTTGTGCTCCACTATCAATGGCGCCAGATAGCAGAAATAATTCTGGTTAGAAAAGCATCATTTACATGGTCCTACCGATATATGAAGTTAAAGTATTCATTGAAAGGTAAACTACACATCAAGTTTCCTTTTATATACAGTCAGTCTCGTAAATATTCGTACCTTCAATATTTATTGAAGAAATTTGCCTAAATTAAATAATACATTCAATGTTCCCGTATAAATTTTTCATTAAAAGCTGTCATTTAATTTAGGTAAATTTCTGCAATAGATATAGAGGGTACGAATACTTATGGGACCGACTCTATCTATTTCAATTAATATATCGCCAAGTCAAGAAGAATGCACGTTTTAATTATCCCTTCTCTCACATTCACAACTTCGCAAATTCTCCGGCTTCTATCTATTTAGTTAGAAGAAGGCGAAACCAACGGAGAGCACACTGGTAATGTTTGCTTGCTCCTCCAAGCAAGTTCGTCCGCTGGACGCTGGTCCGTTCTGCTCGTTTTACGATCAGCAGAACTGGGAAAGCCGATGGGTGTACCGAAGTTATAATGCAGGCGATGAAATTATGGTAAGGTCCCAGGGAAATTTCCATCGTAACTTCCGTTCGTGGACTAGAGGAATCGATGCAGAATGTCGGATGATCAAAGTTCAACACCGCAGAAGCGTGGATGGCCACTGATCGACGCTGCGCTGGCGAAAATCGGTCCGCGTCCCTGGGATAGAGAATTGAACGGACGAGAGACAGAGAACGCGAGAAAGGGGGAGGATGGACAGTAGCGAAACTTGCACTTTATGCACGTATGAATACGTACGCGTGGACTGAATGCCCGCGCGGTATACAGACGCGACGGAGTTTACCAGAGATTGGAGATGAAATCACTCCGTGAATCACGTCACTGGGACCTTTCGTTTTGAGGAATGCGATTTACCCGTGTATCGAAACCGATCGCAGCTGCTCGATCAACTCCACTGTCTCTGTGTTACTCTATTTCTCTCTGTTTTTTTTTCTCTCTCGTGTAAAACCGCTGATCGATTCAATGGAGTCACTCGACGAGTTATGAATCGCGATGAAGCGCTCGCGAAAAATGAACAAACGTTGGGGAAATACGATGAACACGAGTGAAGGCGCTGCCGGAAGGGTTGACGTAGAGAGGGGAAACTTGAGACCAATCCCTTTCATTTGATAAGGCCTTATAACTTATACTACTTTAACTGTTCAAATTATTCTTTAATTTCCTCTGGGTTATACCATCACTAAATGGAATTCTATTTTCTTTAAGGAGAGCCGGCGAGCATCTAGAACAGGTATAGACTTCCCGTCGACAAACAGTGTTTTTCGACTCGCCAACGCTCGCGTTAAAATATCCCCTGGAACACCAAAGGACCGGATTTCTTTACAGCGATATTACCAAGCTCTTCGAATCCCTTGTTTACGCGAGAAGAAAAATTGCAACGCTCAAAGAAGCTTCCTTCTTCAACAATGAAAGACGAGACGATAGAATCTGTAAAATTTAAACGTCTCTGTCGCGACATTCCAATAATCAAAAGCAGCTCAAAGGAGAGTAAATTTCATTAACAGGAAAATCGAGCAAGGAGCTGCTGTGGAGTAAATAAAACACCAAGGACGTATTATCCTATAGCGAAGAGGATTTCTAACTGTTTTCTTTCTAATTTTCAGTCGATTCTTGCTCACGAGCTAGCTTAAATTCGTTTCGGCAATTTTTAATATACCGTGACATATTCCCTGCTAATTTCGTACTCGGGAGGCGAAGTGGATGCATCCTACAATAATAACGCCGCGGCAGTGGCACGAAAACAGCCACCGCGAACGCTTTACGGCACCACTCTCAACGAAGTTCAAAGAGTAACGAGCCACGTTAACGCTCGCCGCGCTTACACGGGAAGTTCATAAAACGTTTCTTTGACGTGGCGGGTATCGCGTGCAGAATCCCGTTCCAAACGTCGAACGATCGAGGATCACGCGGACGGAAGCGGGTGTTTCTCCAGCCGACGCTGAGAGTCTCAGACAGCAGACACGCGTTATCAACTACCGGGACGAAACTTTTTACATTATGTTAACTTGCGCGCGAAATGGCCTCCCGCGGACCGTGAAGTGGATGAGCGCGTGGCTGACAGAAACTTTTCGCCCCCGTCCTCTTTGGAAAAAGCTGTGCACAGGGATGGGAGAAATCTTTATACGATCGAAAATTCCAGACAACGAAGGGTGACAGATTTTTACGTATTATATGGTAAATAAGAATAAGAGGGATGTAGCTTCGAGCGAGGGTCACATCTTTATTTATATCTTTGTTTAAGGTGTGCCATGTGGTTTAAAAGTGACACTCATCAACATCGTTTGTATCGTTTGTGGTCTCGTCATTTTCGAAAAGAGGTAATTGGTAAAATAAAATATGAATTCATGAAACGAAGGAAGTCATTTATTCTTAATATTAAAAGGAGTTGATCCAGCCATGTCACGTTCCTCTTACACGTGTTTCATCAAATCAAAATTCCAAGAAATAGATGGCATAGTGAAACAATTAGAAATGTAGGTCTAGAGAAAGGAAACGCGTGTCTGAGACGTCGAGAAAGCAGCCTTCGGATCTCCCCTGTAACAAGAGACTTCGAGCCCGTTTCATTGTCGCGCTGGGCGATCTATAGCAGCTAATTAGACCGCGTCCGTAAAACGGAGCGTTTTGCGGAGCGGCCTGACCACGGTAATTCGTATAATCTCGGGCCAACGGTAGCACGACATTATGCAAATGCACGCCAAGGAAACGTCAGCCCTTTAACAAGGTCGGTGGTTTAATTGAATAGATGAAACCGGCATTTTTAGGCCACGAGCTCTGTTGCCTTAGATTGAAATTCAACCGCGGCGAAAACGAGGAACGTGTCGGGATTGCGCGCTGCTTCTACGAGAAGAAGGAAAAAGAACCTGGAAACGCGAGTGGCGCCGGTGTAATTAAACGCAATTAAAATTGTTGTTCCGAAGTTACCGCGTTTCGACGTACCTCCTCGCTCACGGGGCCGCGAATCGCGCGATAAAGTTACGTGTGTGGCTAATAGCCACGGTGAATAAAGAAGTTACTATATATACACGTAAGTATATATACGAATATACAAAACGTTTCGCGC